CCTAGTATTGGGAAAAAAGAAGAAAAAGGAGAGCTGGAAATTCGGGGATGCTTTGAATTTGTATAAGGCTAGCTTATCCATGGCCTGTGCTATCTTTTCATCTTATTCATTTAGGACTTCTTTAACTCTTATCAATGATGTTTTATAATTTGGGGTGTATATTACATTTGATTTTGCACTTGAGTCATAGACGGCAAAGGTTATCTTTGTGTATCTAACTTTTAAAGTCCTTGTTCTATGAAATATGCATACCGAGCCAGGTGTGGTGGTGCACACCTGTAATCCCAGCGGCTTGGGAGGCTGAGACAGTATCGAGTTTAAAGTCAGCCTCAGCAAAAGCGAGGCATTAAGGTACTTAGTGAGACCCTGTCTCTAAGTAAAATACAAAACAGGGCTGGGGATGTGGCTCAGGGGTCGAGTGCCCCTGAGTTCAATCCCTGGTACAATGAAGTTGAGCATCTTTTCGCATGCCTCCCCCACCCCACCCCCCCAAAAAAAAGAAGAAATGCATACTGAAAAGTGCCTAAAATATAAATATGCAGTTTAATAATCAAATATCCATCCAGAGGAAGAGCCATCATTACCAGCTCGGCAGAGCTTGACCCAAGTCCCTTGCTTCCACCTTAGCCATTTCCTTGCCTTTTTTGTTACCCACCCACGTGTGCAGTTTGCCTGTCATTGAGCTTTATTCAAGTGGATCATACTCTATACTTTTGTGTCTTTTGAGTGTGTGTGTGTGTGTGGTGGGGGGGTGCAAACGTGCTGCTGGGGATAGAACCCAGGGCCTCATGCATGCTAGGCAAGTGCTCTACCCCTGAGTCATACCCTAGCCATGTTTTCTCTTTTTGTGTTCCACGTTATTATTCTGAGAGTCACTCATGCTTTTTTTTAAAAAAAATATTTTGTTTTAGTTGTAGTTGGACACAATACCTTTATTTTATTTTTATGTGGTGCTGAGGAGGCAGCCCCGCGCCCGGCATGTGCTAGGTGAACACTCTACCGCTGAGCCCAGCCCCAGCCCCAGACCCCCATGTTTTTACTCTTAGCTGTAGTTCATTTGTTTTCATTGCTGTGTAGTATTGCATTGTATACATAATATACTTATCCGTTCTGTTGTTTTTGGATATTTGGGCTGTTTTCAGGTTTTGGCTATTATAAGCAATGCTTATGAGCATGTACTCTTTTTTTTTAATCATTAAAAAAAGTTACTAAAAGCAGTTCTCAGCAAACATATTTATGGAATTTGCTCTGCAGACAGGCAAGAGCAGCTGTTTTCTGTCCAAGTCACTTCTGATTGTTTGGAAGTCCCTGGCCGCCTTCTGAGGAGACCCTGGCCCACAGATAGAACCTGGCTGAGAGTTCTGTCGTTGAAGCCTCTCAGATTTTCACTGGTGTGAATAGTTTTGAACTTGGATTTTGCAACCAACTCTGGGCTTCAGCATGTGGCCCGGCAAGGGCCTGGAAAGGACTTCCTGCACAGACCGTGGTCATTTAATCCTTCGGGTATTTGGGGGAGGGGAGGGGAGGACAGCAAAGGGACAGGAGAGGTCTTCGGGCAGCCTGCTTGTGTGCAGATGGAGCTTGACTACCCAGTTCCTGCTGTTCTGAAGCCGCAGCTCTCTGCCCGCCTCCCTGGGTGAGCTGTTGGCTACCTTACAGGCAGTTTGGATCGGGAGTTTGCTTGTTTTCTTTATGCTGGAAAACAGCATGCCAAGAACTTTCACACTTCTCATTACTAGGGGAAAGAATGGGAGAGATGCCACAATACAGCCTCTGACTGTTGGGATTGAAGCAAGTTTCCCACCGTCTGAGCTCACTGATATCCCAGTCAGGAGGTGAGGGTCTCCCTTCCCATGTTGCTGAGTGATCTTGAGCCTCCTGAGGGGCCTCCACCAAGGGGAGCCAGGCATCCTCAACTCTGGGAGTCTCAGCAGAGATGCTGGGGCTCCGCTTCTCCCACCCCAGGGGCTGCTGGTCCTCTTGTGACCCTGAGTTGTTTCTCTGGTGGCTGTGCCAAGCCACCTGGCAGTTGTCTGTTGCTCCATGTCCAGCATCCAGAGGGCCCACGTCCAGTGTCCTGCCACATGGCGACCATCTCCCTTGCACCCCAACTGTCTGAGAACTGGAGGCCCAGACCCAGAAAAGCCCCATAATTGTAGCAAGCAGTTCCAAGAGAAGGTTCTCTCCTTCCTCTCACCCCAAGAGAGGGCTCAAGAGTCTCCTCCTTTGACAACTGTGAAGGGGGTGAAGACTTGGGGGTCTCTAAAATGGAGGACCCCTAAATAATTTTCTGAGGTCAACTCTGACGTAAATCACAGGCCATGAATGTGTGTTTTAAAACTAGAACAGAAGAGGGACTTTCCTTTTTGGGGAGAAACGTGGGCCACCTTTCTCACTTCCCTGTTTGAAGGTGAGTGGGATGTAAGCTGCACCCAGTCGCTGCCCTAATTGCTGCCTTTCCTCTCCCTCCCCAGGTACTTTGACCACAGAGAGCATCCAGCCCATGAGGGCCCCTTCCCCCTTCTCCCACCTCCAGCGTCCCCAGAGGAGATTGCACAACCTGTTGGCCCACACAGACGAACAAGCAGGGTGAGCCCGGCCAACCACATTTCTGAAGTCAGGAGCCCTGGACTTCAAGGTGTACCGTCTGGTGACTCTGTCTTCCTACAGAAGCCCCAGGACTTGATGGGGTGTGTTTAAACTCTCCCCATCCCTGACGCCTCCCCTCTTCCCACCTCAAACTCAAGGCGGTTGCTCCCACCTTTCTGAGCACCTGGCCTGCCTGCCCGAGCACACCTGAAGACCCTGGT